TAAGTGGGAGAACTTGCACAATTGGTGGCTGACTAAATACTTTTTCCCCCCACTGTATGTATACTTATTTAGTTGTTTGTGTTATCTGTGTATTACATTTAGAAAGCAATATCATTTTTTTCAATCCATCAAGGTCTGAATCAAAGTTGGAATTGTTTGTAATCCTGATTTTGCTCAATCTTGTTCTGCTTTGGATTTTAAATTCTGGAAGGTTTCTCGTATTGTTAAAATAAAAATAAAAAATGTAGTCCTTTTCACAACTCAGGACTACTTTTACCCCATGCGTAATTCTTCCACCACCTACAAATCATGAGTAACATTCAATCCATACCAATATATAAGAGTGCTTTGAACATAAATCAATTGGAAAAATAAATATCAAAAGCTTCTTCTTTAAGAAAGTTAAAAGGTATAATTATGATCAAGTGTTTGTTAACAAGCCTGGTTTTAATGTTAACGCTGGGGGGAACACTTTGAGTCCCATTTGGATGATGAGATGTGGCAAAAAAAGTTTTTGAATGCAAAGTCTCCGGAGACTTCAATGTCCATGTGTGTTGCGAGTCCAAACCTCCGGTTAGGGACTTTTTAAATCTCCTTGATTCTTTTGGTCTCGTTCAGTCCGTGGCTGGCCCAACACACGATAAAGGACACACTTTAGATTTAGTATTATCGTTTGGACTGTCTGTCTCTGTGGATGAAATCTGTGCAGCGATGGGTATCTCAGACCATTTAACGGTTCTGTTTACAACTTCGATCCCTTCCGCAGGAGTCGAATCACGTGCCCCTGCGCATCGTCTGCGTTCAATTAACCCCTTGGCTGCCTCACAGTTCTCTGATGTTTTTAATGCTTCTCCGATCTGTAAATTAGAGGTGAACTGTGCTTCTAGTGCTGTTGAGCTTATCTCCATGTTTGTCTCGACATGTACACTAATACTGGATTCTGTTGCTCCTTTTACGCTTAAACGCCCCAAAGTTCTCTCAGAGCCGTGGCTCAATGACTTTACTCGTGCTCTCAGACGCGCTTGCAGGCGTGCAGAGAGAAAATGGAAAAAGGATAAACTCCATGTCTCCTTAGAAATCCTTCATGCTTGCCTTTCCGACTACCAGACGGCAGTCAAAGCAGCCAAAACAGAGCACATTTCTCTGTTAATCTCCAAAAACAGCCATAAACCTCAGGTTCTTTTTAATGTCCTCAACTCGATCATTAATCCCTGTGATGTTTCTCCAATTGTGCCATCGACTACTCTCTGTGATAAGTTTCTTAAATTTTTTATTGAAAAAGTATCTGCTCTTAGGCTAGCCCACACTACCCCAGATCCTGCTCCTTTTCTGTGCCCTGCTGTCCTCGACCACTTTGAGCCTGTATCCCTCTCTTCTCTCTCGGATATAGTCAAGCACCTGCGGCCAACAAACTGCTCCTCAGACAGCATTCCCTCTCGCCTTCTCAGAGATGTTTTCGAATCAGTTGGTGCAAGTATTTTGTTACTTATAAACACCTCTCTTAGCCCAGGATGTATCCAAGCTGCCTTCAAACATGCCGTGGTCCAGCCACTACTTAAAAAGAAAAATCTCGACCCCTCCATTCTCGCCAATTTTAAGCCCATCTCCCAGCTTCCTTTTTTACCTAAAGCCCTGGAGCGAGTACTCTACGCCCAGCTGCAGTCTTTTTTAACCATGAATGGCATCCATGAAAAGTTTCAGTTTGGCTTCAAACCCATGCACAGCACTGAAAAAGCCCTTTTAAGAGTTTTTAATGATCTGCTCCTAGCCGCCGACTCAGGTAGCCCAGCTGTCCTGGTGCTGTTAGACCTGACAGCTGCCTTTGACACTGTGGACCATAGCATCCTGTTGTCACGGCTTGAACAGTCCGCAGGCATCGCAGGCTCTGCCCTTACATGGTTCAGGTCCTACCTGACAGACCGTAGCTTCTCAGTGCAGCTAGGTGCCTTCTCCTCTGCCAAAGCCCCTCTTACCTGTGGGGTTCCCCAAGGCTCGATTCTGGGCCCCATCCTTTTTCTACTGTACATACTGCCCCTAGGTTCAATTCTCCCAAAACGCAACATCCCCTTCCATTGTTACGCTGATGATGTACAGATCTATCTGCCTTTCAATTCAAATTTCAACTCACTACAGCAGTTGATGGACTGCTTGACAGCGATCAAATCCTGGCTGAGTCAGAATGTCCTCAACCTCAACGAGGTTTGATAAGCAGGTCAGTACAGTCAAGACCATTTTTTTTTAAAATACGTGCGTATGGACCAGGCGTCAATTGGACGCCTGCAGCTACAGTAGTCCAGAACACAGCTGCACGTCTTCTCACTGGCCATAAAAGGCATTACCACATCACCCCAATTCTGGCCTCACTGCACTGGCTTCCAATTCGGTTCAGAATTGATCTTAAACCAGCCAGAGCTTAAAGGTCGGCTGACCAGGCTCAAAACCAGAGGGTACCGAGCCTTCGCAGCAGCCGGCCCTAGGCTCTGGAACACTCTGCCCCTCCATGTGAGGTCGGCCGAGACATAGGGTTTTTAAATCTACACTTAAAGCTCACTTCTTCTCTCTGGCCTTCTAGTCTGAGCAGTACACGACTCCTGACATTTCCCTGTGTGTGATTTTTTTATTTGTGCTGTTGTATTTGTTGTAAAGTGTTTTTATTGTATGTACAGCGCTTTGGCTGGACCAAAAATCGTTTTAAAAATGTGCTAAATAAATAAAACTTGATTTGATTTGATGCAATTGACCTGGGAACCAACTTTGGAGTCTGTTTCAACACCTTTACAGAACCTTATCCACTCCAATACCTGAACCCTCGATCACCTCCGACCCCGCCACCAAAGGAATCAATCCAACATTACATCCGACCAGCAACTAGCCTTGAAGTCCTTATCTGCCAAATATGAAATTATTATCAAACCTGCAGATAAGGGTGGACAGATAGTGATCCAGGACAGAACCAACTATATCCTCGAAGCAACCCGTCAATTAAACAACCCCATCTGCTACCAACCACTAGCTCAACCCCTTTATTTTGAAACACGCAGCATTATTAAAACCTTAGTTAATCAGATGAAAACCAAACGCCTTATAACACCTAAACAGGCACTTTACCTCCTCGGCCCCGATATACCACGTCCCAGACTTTTTTACCTCCTTCCAAAAATGTATAAACCCTCCGCTAGTTGGTCGGTCCCTTTTTTAGTACCTCCAGGAAGACCCATCGTTAGCGATTGTGGCTCCAAATCCTACCAAATAGCGGAATTCATCGATCACTATATCAACCCCCTTTCCCATAATCACCCCAGCTACATTAAAGATACCTTCACCTTTGTTAAAACATTTAAACCCCTTTCTGTTCCCTCGCACACGTTTATTTTTTCCATAGACGTGGACTCTTTGTACACCAACATTTCTACCCCCCTTGGTTTAGACGCCGTAAAAAAAGGAGCAAATACTAAAGCAGACAGGCAATGCATCTAATACCAAACATATACAGTAAGAAATGTAAACTGTTTGAACTAGGGCTGTCAAGTTAACGCGTTAATAACGCGTTAACGCAAAAACAAATTAACGCCACTAATTATTTTAACGCGATTAACGCATGTGTATTTTTTGTCCTCGGCCGCCCCGTAGTTTCAGAGCGCATCGAGTTTAAAATACCATCAAGCTGATGCTGACAGCCCCCCTCCTGCCGTTCGCTTGCAGCAGACCACACTTCCACGCTCACCGGCATGCACCGACTGGCCATCGGGAGGACCGGGTGGGTATGTGTATGTGTGGCGCGAACGAGCGAGAGAGAGAGAACGGGCACACCTTACGTGTATTCTTGTTGTTAGCATCTGGTGCTAGCTAGCTGCGCTAACGGATATAAGGAGCTTTTTCAATGAAAACAGAGGAGCGACATTTCGCCGACAACTTGACTTTATGCAGGTAGCCAGACAGTGGGACATTGTACGAAAAGTCAGCATACTCAGCACGGATAGTGCGCGCAACATGATTGCAGCGTCCAGGCAGCTCCTGTTCGAGCATATGCCTTGAGTTGCACATAGCTCCAACGATCCATCACACACACACACACACACACACACACACACACACACACACACACACACACACACACACACACACACACACTTTGTATTGTGTTATTGTATGAGAGAGGTTCCAGGTTGAATTGTGGCAAATATTTGTAATGTTCAGAGGTAGTTGTGTTTAATATTCATTAGAATATTTGTCATTGTTCAAATGATAATAAACATTTGCATAAAGCATATTTGTCCAATCATATGTTGATAAGAGTATTACAAACTTGAAAAATATTTCTCTAAGGAACATTTAGAACAGATAAAAAATTGCGATTTACTATTTTAATCGACTGACAGGCCTAGTTTGAACATAATTTCACACACTGCCTGTTTACACTGTTGTGGTTATGTTTCAGTGACGTTATTGTTATGAGTGTGTTTTAGAAAGCATATTGCCACCAATTAAAAACAAAAAGCATGTTCCCAAAAACCAACAGGGACTTCACACATCAACAGCAACAGCTCCAGGTCGTATTCAGATTACTTTTGGAATACTTTATTTTTCCACCACAGATGGGTATGTTTTGGTGTACGCGAGGCAAAAAAAGCAATAGGAAACTGAACGTTTTTTTTTTGTTATAATGGCTTATCAAGAGCACAACTGAAACATAACATCTGAAACGATGTAATAACATAATACACTTTTTTGGGATGCAGCTTGGGATGTGAGGAGTGAGGGACATTGCTTAGAAAGGGCGTTTCGCTATCTGTCCTGCCAGTGTTGGCAGGCTTTGTAGGGGCAGGACATAATGTAATTATAGGAAAACTGAATAAAACAATTAAAAAACAAAAATATTTGATTTTAGGTGTCGATTTCACTCTACTGCAGCGACGTGCAGTCAGGGGAGGCAGGAGAGGCAGAGCCTCACTTGTAATACTCCAATGTAACGGGAAAAAAAAGAAAGAAATAATAATAAAATGTCTCCATTGATCTGTCTTGTCAATGTGATTTCTGTATGATGTGATTTCTTCGCTTTTTATTGTCGAAATCGTCAAATTTGACCGACTACATGGGAGCGATGAGAAGTGAGGCAGGGACAAGCTCTGCCCCACGTAACCCCACATAAACTGGCTGGAGCGCGGGCACTAATTTAGTGCGAGCACTTATTTTCTGCCCGTGCTCCAGCCAGTTTCTGTGGGGTAAGGTGACTTGCAACCGCTGACCACAGCAGCAAACATATTTACATAATACAGTGCAACACCACATTGCAGATGCGTAATGCGGATGCTGGCCAAATAACAGTACCTGTTGTTGCGCTGCTAGCTACAATAGCGCGGAGGAGGAGGAGGAGGAGGAGGAGGAGGATTTAGGATGCCCATGTCTTTGCATTATACATACTTTATGTATTACGACCATTGAATGTTTAAAGTAAATTGCTGTCATCTGAGGCGCCAAACATTATTCCTACTGTATCATAACTGATAGAAGAAAAGGCGAACTTAAGACCATGGTTTGGGTAAACTGTAGTTATCTTCACCTGTGTTTGTAATATGGACACATTAAGAAAAGTAATCGCCATATGTCCCCTCTGTGTCCTTCCTCTGTGTGTTTGCAGTCAACATGACCCCAGTGGACCAGCTGGAGCAACACTGAGCCCCCTCCAGCTGGAAGAGCCCACTTTACACTCCTATCTGCAGTAAGTGACCTTTGAACTGAACTAAGCAGCAATAATATGTTCAGCTCCTATCCTGTACACCTACATGCATACACAAAATTCTACAAATTATGTAGTTATTACCCCACAAACATGCACTGTGTTATCGAAATAATTGTATTGTGTGTTAGCACAAACAGAAAGAAAGTAGGTGAATTGAATTGATTTATTTAAAACAAGGGACAGTGTACATTAATCAACATATTAAAAACATGTAAAAGTATTCGAATTAGCCAAAAGGCTAGTTTTCATCGATAGTCCCTTTGCCAGATGGTGATAGACATCCTAAAAGCAATAATAAAAATACCACAACATTGTGATACCATTGTACATATTTACAATAGATGACTTCACTGAATACAGATAAGAGCAAGTCATGATAATACATAAATAAATAAAACATTTACAATACACACTCATACACTCATACACAGGTGATCAGTTTTAGAAAAACAACACTTGGCTGGTGCACAGCAGGTTACGTGCACACACCTCTGGGTGCTGCTGATGTTACTGCATGTCTAAGGAAATTATAGGAGGCGAGCAAAGAGAGAATGGAAATGATATGCATTAATACTTGTCAGTAGATCGATATGACCAATCATCCATTACTAACACATGAACATGGCAGCTGTAAACTGGCACCAGCAGGTCACTGTTTTAGTTTGATATTTCACTCTCCTACCCTGCATATGGATGTATTTAGCTGGTTTAATGAGTTACTATATGTCATGTATTGTCATTGAATCCCTTATAAAATGTATTTGGTGTCAATAACATGATGGTGTTAACTCATTTCACCTTTCCCAAAGAGAAAATAAAACAAGGAAAATATGTGGAACCACAGTGTTAGTTAATATATAGTATCAACATACTGTACCTACATTTAACAAATCAGAGATTGTCCAATCAGAGTTTATCAACAATAACTAAGTTAGACAGAAACGTAGGATTTTTCAACATGCTTGTTGGTTTCATTGGGCTAAAGTAAGAGCTATACTGGGTATACAAAGAGTGTGTGTTTGTCTTGGTAATAATGAACAAACTATACTAGGCATAGAACAGCTGCATCTAGTGTTGAAGTCTCGCATTGTAACAACACAGTCTTTCCACCTGTGTGTGTGGCAGCCAAGAGTCTTTATACACACAACCACCAGAGGTCCTTCTCAGGCAAACACAAACATTATGACAAGTCTGCAGGGTGCTACACATTAGACCTCATTAAACAAGGTCAGATCTGAGTTGTACAAATTGTAATTTTGCAAACTAATTACTCTGCCATCACACACTGCTCTTGGCAGGCTACTAGACAATAAGTGGTAGAAGTGCACAGCATGCACTGTTGCACTATTAGGAGCTCATGTCTTTGCTCTTCTGTCCAGGCACTGTGATTTGGAAATGAATGGGAAAGTGAATCCTACTGCTGAGAAGATCACTGCCTCCAAAAGTGCCAATATGGTGTCAAACCTGTCCCCAGAAGGCCAGCCTTACACCAGGGTGAGCACACCACAAATACTCACCCATCCATGGCAGATGGAGTGTTCCATGAAATACTTCATTTAAACAATGAGAAAAGGTTTTGGGATATCAGCGCAACTGCAGCATGCTTTCATGGTAAACAGATATACTGTGTGTGGGGGAGCAAGCAGTCTTTGGTTTGATCTGCCTGAGGAAGTAGTGTGATCAAACTCGCCATTGTTGCTTAACGGGTCTTTGCTAAGTAAACAAGTTCTCAGTCACATCCTGTTAGACCTGACTTCCCTCATAAAAAGGTTGAGAAAATAATTAACCAATTTATCATTATTCATAACATTGTTTTAAAATGTTTTAACTCCTCAAATCAAATCCTAGCTTGCAGTTAATGATGAGCCGGTATCTGCTACATTTATATGTGTTTATGCCCATTGTGCATATTCTTTAAGAACCTATACATAAGTGGAAGATCACTTTATGGTCTTCATGTAATATAATTCGAAAAAATACTCCTATAATTGTAATCCTCTATACCCCACTATCAACGTGTACATTTCCATAATCTTTATACTAAACCTCTATTTTATATCTGGGTAATTGCAGGCGTCTCGTACTCCCAGGAGTTCTCTTCGAACGGCAGCTACGTTTGGGAAGCGCTCAAACTCCATGCGCAGAAATCCCAAAGCAGAGGTCAGCAAACAGGGATGGCTGTACAAGCAGGTGAAGCGTTTTTCCTCTCCTCTTATGAAAAACTAAACTTGTGTTAAAAAATGTTTTTAAGGACTATTTTTGGAGACTATGATTTGAAGCACAATCTTGTAATCATTGAGGACATGCATGTTGCATGATAGAAGAGTGAAGAAACACTGTTACCCTGCAAAGTCATGACACTGAAGAAGTCTTCTCCTGTGTGACAGGCAGTGTTGGGCAAGTTACTTAAAAAAAGTAACTAGTAATAGTTATAGTTACTGCTCTCAAAAAAGTAACTAGTTACTTTATTAGTTACTAAATTATAAAAGTAACTAGTAACACGTTACTTTACTTTAAAAATAATAACAATATAAATACAAGTTTTTGTGTTGTTTTTTGCTGACTAGTTCTCTGAAGGCAACAGACTCGACCGTTGCAATGGGCAGCATTTCCTCAACAACATACCTGGTAATCAATCTGTTTAGTTGACTCTGGGAGACGTGGCGATTTTTAAAAATCGTTTTTTGGCTATTTAGATGGTGTTGCTCCATCTGGGTCACTGGCACTGCCGGTGGTTGAGACGGTGGGGTCTTTGGCGACTAGCTTTATAGCCTCATGTACATTACTTAGGTGCTTCAGGAGATTGGCATTGCTGTTTTTCGATGTGGACAATGCTTTCTGTCCTGCACACAGTTTACATTTTATCGTAATATTTTTTGCGTCCTTTATCCCCACAAATTGAAAATAGTGGTTATATTTCCAAGTTGCAAATGCGCTGCTGCTCTCGCTGATACTTGCATCTGCCATTGTGTGTGTGTGTGTGTGTGTGATGGTGGTGAGCGTTGCTGTGTGTGTGTGTTAGCATTAGCAAGTGTTTGTGTGTGTATTTTCCCTATAAGGCAAGACCCGCCCAACTCTGTCTCTGATTGGCTTACCCTGAAATGTTACTCTGCGTTAACCAATCATCACTCCTCTCTGGTTACTTTCACTTTTCCATGGTGCTGTGAGAGGACATCGCTGTATTCGCCTGTAAATTACATCTGCAGGGAGATTCGGTTCAGTTCCATCACATAATGTAACGCAGTAACGCACCCATTTAAATCACAGTAACTATAACGGCGTTACTTTGTGGGAATAGGTAACTAGTAACGCTATTAGTTACCGCAAAAAGTAGTTGCGTTACAGTAACGCGTTACTTTGTAACGCGTTAGTCCCAACACTGGTGACAGGTTGTTAGTAACGTCACGCACCATGAACAGATACACCAGATGGATTACAGTTTCTGAACTATACCTTTTGAGCGAATAAAGCAAAGAAATAAACCTCGTACCCTTTAATTGCACCCTGGGCATGAAAGAGCCGCACAATGTCAAAACCTTAGAAGGATTCAGTTTGTTCAATACCTTCATGGGACTTTTACAAATGCTCCTGTTTTACATAACCCTAAGATCAAATGTGTTATTGATAGCACTGGCATGGCCTGTATGTCTATGTTGTTGTACTGTTGGTCTTGGGCTGCCTTTATTTATTGTGTGATCTAACCTGAAACGTTGTGACACCGAATCAGAAGCCCTGGATAAACGGTGAGGTCCTTGCCAAGCATAAAGCGCGGACTATCGCGCACAGAGGTGGAGATTTGGAAGAGTACAGGAAGTCAAGGTACGCGCTCCGGAGAGCTATCAGCAGTGCAAAGAGACAATACAGAGACAAAGTGGAGTCTGATTTCAAAGGCTCTGACACCCGGAACATGTGGGCGGGACTAAGAACAATGACTGATTGCAAAGGAGCAGCCGGTGGTTCTGGGGGACTGTCTGTGAGTATGTCTCTCCCAGATGAGCTAAATAGCTTCGATGCTCATTTTGAGTGCAGGCAGGCTGTGGAGGCACAGAAGGATCAGGAGCCCTGCC